ATATCACTTTTGCACAAATAGGAGAAAAGATAAAAGAAATGGAAGGTAATAAAAAAAGGCTAATAAAATTGGTTAAAATTGGATTACAACTGACATAAAGAACCAATATGATTAATTGAATTCGGTCAGACGTTATACCGAGTTTATTGTGTCAAGGGCTTGCCTTACATCAATTCTTGTAATAAATTAGACAGCCCCTTTCATTTATTATTCATTCGGTTTTGTAATAATTATTTATTCGGACATTTGGACATTCGGACCCTCCTTCGCAAGGACAAATATGTAATAAGTTGTATGTCTTCCAACCCCCATTCTTTCTCCTTTTTATTTCACTCCTTATGATGGTTAGGTTAAGGACATCAGATTTTCAAATTAGCATTTCCATGACTTGCATCCATTTGTTTCGCATGCATAAAAGTTCGGCTCATCATATTATTCAAATGTCAAATTCAAACTCTTTACTTGAATGCTTGTGCTATCGCATGCCTTGAATTGACTCGCATGCTATGCTAGTAGCCAGCTTATTACTTGCACGTTGTATGTGTTGCATTAGTCATGTTGCATTAATTAGGATCATGCATTTTTTTCTAACTATTTGCTTTCTTTTGACTCGCCTTCGGACACAAGTTAAGCATTTTTGCTTTAGCGTATTGCATGAGTGTGATTGCTTTCATATCAAACATACTACCATGAGGCTAAATACTTACTTGATATACCTGTTTGAATGCCTGTGGATGAAGGTTGTTCACTGACACTGGGATACTTTGATTAATGTATATATATGAGATCACTTTTCAAGTGATACATATGCAAAACACTTGTTTTCAAAACAAACATGAAATTAGACGTTCCAACTGTTCATGAAATTAGTCTATACTTGTACGTTACAGATAAAATAAGAACATATACTTTACATAAGAATCACATCATAATTAGTAGAGGCCGATCTTTGATCGGGTGAGTGGGGTGCTTATTATTGACCTTCCCCTCTCATGCCTAAGTTCTTGAACCAAGACACTTTGGTAACGACGGACTAATGGCCTTTGGCATGAGTCACGGGTTTCCTAAATTTCCCAAAATAAATATTTAGGTGGCGACTCTGATATCTGGCAAAGCAGTTCATTTTTGGCATTTGATTCAAAACATCGATTTTCCAAAAGAAATTGTCGGATTTGGACTCTTCTTGTGTTTCCATTGTTTCACATTACACTTGTGAAATTAGATTTAGAACCATACAAGTAGAGTCCGAACTGTAAGGGCTATTCATTCTTCCGAAAGGAAGCGCAAAAAGCCGAGCTATAGTTTTTGGTGACTCTGTTGGAAATTAGAGAACTTGACTTGAAATTTATGATGTGAATTTTTATCTACACTTATATAGTCTTCGCATTGCATTTGCATTGGTGCGCCATCTTCTATTCCTGGACGGTTTGTCGAAGGCTTGCTTACAAAGCTTGCCAAAAGGCTGACCAGTCATGGGCTCTATCATGTTGATCTGGATTACTGCTGTACCATTTGATCCTCCTTTCACTTCTCGGTGTTAGATTTGAGAGGTATATTAGGTAGTCTTGCTGAGGTACCCTCTGTGACTATTTGACCAAATGCATATAGTAAGCTCTAGTGACTATTCCAAATTAGGATAGGATGCCACCCATACAAGATGTTATGAAACCATTTACTTGAAATAATGCAACATAGATCTTGTCAAAATCTAGGACAGGGTAACCCTACCCCTTTATAGGGGTGTTTTGGTT